GCTAGGAATGGGGCAAAAATAAGAACCAAGATGCATTATGTAAAGGTACAATTCCCAATGAGAAGTGTAATTGTATTGTATACCTACAATGTACCAATAAAAGAATTTAATAAAGTGAAAAAAAGAATAAATTGATATGAGGTGTGGTTGTACTAAATAAAAAATTTATTACAATAAAAGACATGTCATCCTTAACACCCCTCAGGATACTTCCCCTCACTTTGATAACACTCATCCCATCTTTCTTGCCACTTTCTGAAGCAATTCTGGAAGTCCTCTTTTGTGAGTGTTTTTAGTTATCCTGTCATGGCTGCCTTGATGTCCTGTATAGATTCAAAATGTTCACCTTTCATGGTCATTTTTACTTTGGGGCGCAGTCAGATGTCACAAGGTACCAGATCTGATGAATAAGGTAGATGAGGACACATCATAATATTTCACATGCTTGCCTTTCCGTTAGATGACACTCAGCAGCAGCATTCACTACATTTTTGATCATATGTCATAAAGACATGAAAGAGGCCTTTCAGTACTACTTCAGAAACTGTAATAACAATGGGATACGTGTGTTGGAAATGAGTGGAAGTATTTTGACAGGAATTAATGGCAATTTGTATTTTAATGTAATTTTAAAAATTTAAACATTCACCATAAACTTTGATCTTGTAAAATTACTTTCTTCCAAGAATAAATTGTCTGCTTATCTTGTTGAAACCGATTTTGGAACATTTTTTAACACATGACATTTTAATAAATAACACTTTGTCTTCTGAGGGAAGGGGGAAAAATGAGAATATTTTTTGTTTGTTTTTCCATTTAATTTCTTGGGTCTGGTTGATAGAATCCCCTCAAAAGTAATCAATATCAAATTCCAGTATATTTAATCCCTTTAAGGAGATCACAGAAAAAACTGTAACAACCTGTATATTCTGATGTCACTATGAAGCATGCCCATCCCTCTAATTTCCAAACACAATCTGAGAACAGAACTAGAACTTATACCCTACAAAAAAAGAGCCAAAGATATGTGTTCCTAGTTCAAAAGAACTGCAAATGGCCTTAAGAATATGAAAAATGTGTCTTGCCTAATTGCTAAGTAAATGCAATTTAAAACTATACTGACTACAGTGTGTAACCTCAGTCATATATCACTTTCCACAAGTTCTGTCTACAAGATAAATTATTTGAAGTTGAATTGTTGGACCCAAGACAGATATTTCATTTTGGTAAATATTCCAAATTCCACCTCTGTAGGTTGATGTCCATAGACATTGCCTCTATATTAGCTTTCCTTCTGCTGGACAAAAATAACTGATGTTCACTGCCTAAAGGAGAGGTTTATTTGGCTCACAAGTTCAGGGAATTCAGTCCATGGTCAGCTGGCTCCAAGACAGGAATATCATAGCAGAAGTGTGTGGTGGGGCAAAGCTTCCTAGTTCATGGCAACTGGGAAACAGACAAGGGAACAGTGCTAGAGAGGAGGCATGAGGAATCAGATATAGACCTCAAGGCCACATTTCCATTGCCCACTCAGACACACCCAGAGCTGTGCTCCACCAATCCCCTAAGTGGCTCCCAAGCCAATCAAGTTTAACCATCACATCCACCTAGAGACCCACCAAAGGGTCTCTTTCACCACATTTTTGACAATTCTTTGTCTTACATAAGAAAACATGATAGCAGAGAATTCTTCTGAATATAATTGATGTTCTCTATTTGAGTCATCCAAAGAATATGGCAGATTATTCCAAGAAGATAACATAAAATAAGGAAAAAAACAAACAGATAGTATAAGATATAGCCACCTAAATATAAATATAGCCACCTAAATCTGGTGTCACAGCTACATGACAAGGTAGAAAATTCTAGTCAGCTTTACCCTTTTTCCTAGCCTTTCTACCAATTACAAACCAGATGTGAACTTTTTGTAGCCCATGTAACTACTTTAGCCCCAGTATCTTCATTTGTTAAATGACTGGGGTTTTTTTGTTTTGGGGGGTTTTTTGTCTTAAATTCTTTCATTGGTACATTTTAGTTATACAATACCTTTACATTTATCATTGGGTGCTTGTACCTGTACATGATGTATCTTGGTTCTTATTTTTCCCCATTACCTGTTCCCCCTTCACCCCTCCACCCTTCCCATTTACATAGACTTCATTTCCATTTTTTTTCTTTTCTCATAATTTTTCCTTTCCATTCTTTCCTTTCCCCACCTCCTCCCATCACTCCTACCCCTTTGAACCTTTTCCTATTTCAAAGTATCAATTATTAGTTATTAAACCATTTAATCCTTACTGAGTGTTTTAAATCATCATTAAAAAGCAATCACCCAGGGGTTTTATTGTAGGTTCTAGTTATGACTAAATGATTGAAAGGAAATCATCACAAAATTCATTTTAAATAAAGCACAGAATTTAAATCAACTTACAAAATTTTTAAATTGTGCATCTTGTTGTCTAGTTGTGGGATGATAATTTCACTAAATTCGTCTCACGAGATAGAATTTTATTTTCTTTTGAGTGGGAATGAGTTTGTTTCACAATTTTTTCAAGTTCCCCAGAAGATAATTATCACAAAATCATTAACAAAATGCATTAAAATTATGCATTTAATACATCAATTAACAGCTAATAATAAGTTCTATATATGGGAATTGTTTCTAAGCAACTCTCAGATGTAAATATCTAGCAACAACAATGCAGGTTAAAATCCAACAGTCCTCAGTCATGCTGAGTTTTTCTTCACTCTCCAGTAATTACCTCATTTACTCATAAACTCCAATAACTTAAAGGCTGGAAATTCTTTTTCACAAAGCAGTAGTATTACAATCAAAGGCTGACTTCAAGCCAAAAGCTATTCTGGTCATTTAAGGCTACAGTTTTTCCTAGTGAAAGAAAGCAGGCAAGAATGTTTTCATCAATTAAATACATACAAGGGGAATAGAAAAGCATCAGGGACCATAAATTCACTTCTTTCCACCTAGAAGAAGTGCAGTTGGGTGTCATGCAAGGCCACAAATCAAGCCCACCCCCACTGCTGTGTAACCACAAGCAAAACTTTTCATGACCAGTGAGCAGAGCAGAGCTAGCCCCCCCAACACACACACACACACACACACACACACACACACACACACACATTTGGAGAAATATGAAGGGCCACAGAGTACTAGAAATTCTGTCATAATAGTGTTTTTCTTTACTCTCTGCATTAGTCAGCTTTCTATTGCTATAACAAAATACCTGATACAATCAACCTTAAAAGGGGAAAGCTTTATTTTGGCTTACAATTTTGGAGGCTTCCATCCATGGTTGATTGGCCCATTGATTTTGGGCCTATGGCAAGGCAGCACACCATACTGGGAGGGTGTAGAAGAAGAAGTTGCTCACCTCATAGACCTGGGAAATGAAAAAAGGTAGAAAGGGCTGGAGTCTCACTATCCTCTTAAAGGAAGGCCTCCAGTGACCTAGATTTCTCCCCCTGGACCTGACCTTTCAAAGGTGCTACCACCTCCCCAAGAGCACACCATAGGTTAGTGGCCTTTAACATGTAGGTTTTGGGGAAACACTTGTCCAATCCATAGAACACTGCTTGCCATAAAATGTCTTTACAAGACAAAAACTACCTCCAAGGAAGAGTTATTTTTGGAATCCGGAAACCTTAGAGAGCTCTCTAACAGGTTACTTCAGTTGGATTCTTGGTACTTGTCTAAAATAACATTCTACTTCTATCCCTCAAGTCTCAAAGGACTCAATAAGATCAGGTCATTAGAATTTACTGCCAGATCCTTTATGTTATGTTGGTACATCTCCTAGCTTGAATCCCAATCAGTTGTATACATTCAGAAACAATTATGACTGTTTTTAAAGATAATTCATAACACAAGCAAAAAGAATGTGTTCATTATAGGCAGAAATGGGTCAATAGTCTCATATCATTTGCTAAGTGTTAGCACAGCTTAAAATATTTTAATATCTATTCCACGTTTTACCTTGTTCTTTCTCTTTCAATCATGTCAGGTTTTTTTGAATTTTGAATGTGAAATCACTTTTATTTCTTTTTCAGTCAACTACTTCAACTTTAATCTTCCAGCTAAAACATCTGTGTTTTATACAGCCTTCAGAAAGGCAAAGGCCTTCTTGAAGACATGTTCTGGATCAACATTTTTCACTTGAAATGAAAGTACAGAAACCAGAAGAGACCTTGAAATTCTCATAGGACTAGAAAGACAAATTTGGAAATGTGAGGACACAAGATTCCAAAGAGAAGAGACGAATAAATAACTGAACACTTGGAGAGCCAATTTTCCCTCTAAGAATTTTCCTATATCTGAGATGAATGACTTGAGAAGAGATATCCTCTGAAAAGCATGGCATTTATTTTCTATAGTCTCTTTGTAATATAAGAATTGAAATTCAGGATTTGCCACAGGATGCACCCCCACCACCACTACAGTGAATTAACAGGTTCTCAGAAGAAAACACCAAAAATCTACATCTTAAGATCTGATATGAAAAAGTAGGTAGCCTTTCAAAAAATAAAACATAACCTTGGTTCAGGACAGTTTCTGATTAGAGTAAAATCACAAGCCACATTCTATATGCCCAGCTGAGAAAGGGTAAAGACAATAGCAAAATATTAGCTGCTGGCTTTATAAATTTTAGTATATAATGCCTGTTTTTAAATTTGAAAAATTATTAAGCATGCTAACAGACAGGAACATAAGATTGCAAACCAAGAAAAATGAAAAAGGGAAAAAAAGACCCAAATATGATCAAGATAGTAACTTAGCAAAAATTTTTAAGTCACTGTGTTAGCATGTATAAGAATATAGAAACAAAGATGGAGAAAATGTATTAAGAGATAGGCCTTCACCAGAGTTTTGTCATTTACTGAAAAAATGTAAATTCTGTAACAAAAATATTATAATTGAAATTAAGAATCTAAACAGATCTATTAACAGCAGTTTTGACACACAAGAGAACAAAATTACTCAACTGGAAGGTATATCAACAAAAAATCAAGTAGAAGAACTGAAATGAAAAATGAAAATAAGTATCAAAAAGAGTGAAACATATTTGTGCTACACAATGATGGGTTCTAAGAAAAGAAGTAGAAGACATGCATGGAGGGGAAAAAAAAGTATGAGAAATTTCTAAAACTGATCAAAGAATTCTAGAATTCTGTATGCAGTAAAATTATATTTCAGCTGAGCACAATACACACTCCTGCAATCCCAGTTACATGGGAAGATCACAAGCTCAAGGCCAGCTTGGGTAACTTAGTGGTACAGTATGTCAAAAGGAACAAAGTAGGGGTGGAGGATATAGTTCCAGTAGTAGAGAGTCTCTAAGTTCAATCTCTAATACTGAAAAAAAAAAAAGACTACAGACAAACGAAACTTCCAAAATGAGAGGAAATAAAGACTCTCTCAAATAAATAATAATTGAGGGAATTTCTCACCACTAGACCTGCTTTGCTGGAAATGTTAGTAGATGTTCTCTACAGAAAATGAAAATGGTACAGAAGTACTGCAAACTCAAGATAAATAAATTAAATAACACATAATCACATAGTAAAGCCTTTTAATACCAAAGATAAAAGAGAAACTTTAAAATCAACAAAAGAAAATGACATATTACTTAAAATGATAACTAAATTATCAATATAAAAAATGAAAGCCAGGAAACAACAGAATGTTTCTTAAAGTGCTAAAACGAACTTAACTGCTAACTCAGAATTCTGTGACCAATGAGAATTTCTATAAACATTATTTTAATAAGGGCATCTTGAGAAAAAAAATCAATTCATTGTTAGGAAAGATAGTAATGAAAGAAGAAATAAAGAACACTAGAAAGAACAATTATATGTGTAAAAATAAATGAATATTAGAGCCAGGGTGGTGCATGCTTGTAATCCCAGTACTCCAGGAGGCTGAGGCAGAATAATTGCAAATTTGAGCCCAACCCAGGCAATTTGGAGATTTACTAAGACCTTGTCTCAAAATTTTAAAAGTAAAAAATTTTTTTAAAAAAGGACTGGAGATGCAGCTCAATGCAGAGGACTTGCATTCAGTCCCCAGTGCCACAAATAAATACTAGGTTTAAGAAAAAAATAATATTTTGTGAGATATAAAACATATGACTGTGTAACTATTTGGGAGAGAATTAAATGACATTAACATGTTCTAAAATTCTAACATTACTGGCTAAATGATAAATTGCTACTATTGGACTTTAGTAATTCAGGGGTACATGTTGTAACCTCCAAGCTAACCACTAACAGAATAATAAAATAATGGATATGTATCATGCTAGTAGAGGAGAAAGGGAAATAATTAAAATGTTTCATTAAGACATTATTATTATTAATTAATATATAAGTAATAATGGAAGCAAAAATGGACAAAATTGAGATGTATCAAGTAAGAAAAATATCATAGTATAAATTCATATATAAATAATAACAAAAACAAAAATACCAAGACTATAATTATTTAACTGGGTCAAAAAGAAAATAGCTCAACTATATGCTACTTATAAGAAACACACCTTAAATCTAAATATAAAAAGGCTGAAATAAAAGAGTGGAAAAGTATTTACCATCCAAATAGTAACAGATAGTACCACAAGAAAAGCTAACATAGTCTTATTAATTTAAAAAAGTACACTATAAATAAACAGCATTATTAAAGAAAAACATAACAAATAATATATAACAAACACATAAATCAAAAAATTATATCAGACTTCTCTTCAGAAGCCACATAAGCAAAAAGAGAGTACAGTGAAAACCTTTAAAGTCTTAAAAAGAGAAAATCCACCAACCTAGAATTCTTTATCTAGTGAAATTATCCTTTAAAGTGAAGAATGAATAGACTTTCAGGTAAATGATTACTGGAGGAAATTCTCACCAGTAGATCTGTCTTGTGATAAATGTTTAAAGAAGTTATTGAGAGAGAAAGAAAATGATATGAATCAAATACTCAGATTTACATAAAGAAAGGAGTGTTACAGAGACAAATAAAATAAAATATTTAATTTTTCTTATTATTAACTGACAAAAGATAACAGTCTGTTCAAAATAAAAATAGCAAAAATGACGATGATAGCTTATAGATAAGTACAGGGCTGCAGTGTTCTACGGGGTGAGAAGGAGGAATTGAGACTTCTCTTACAATACTTGTGGAGAAAAATAATGTTAACTGAAAGTGGACTTAGGTTAGTTGTAAATACATATCGCACACTGTACAGCAACCAATACGTATTTTTTTGTTTGTTTGTTTTGTTTGGTACTGGAGATTGAACTCAGGACCTTGTACCTTCGAGACAGATGCGGTGCCACTGAGCTAAATCCCCAGCCTCAATATGTAGTTTTATAAAAGAACTACAATTGATATCCTGAGAAGAGAGAAAACTGAATTATTTAAAATACTAAATAAAACCAGAAAAGATAGAAAAATAGAAGACAAAAAAAGGACAAAGGCAATCAAAAGAATGAAATTTCAAAATGCTAGATACTAACTTAGCCATATAGATCATTACATGTAATATAACTGATCTAAATATATGAATTAGAAACTACCAGAGAGCCCGGTGATGGATTGTGTGCTTGGCTTGTGTAAGACCCTAGGTTTAATCCCCAGCACCCCCACACACATAAGAAGGGAAAAGGAAAGAGACAAACTCCAAACATTTTAAGAAGGAATAGCGCTGATCTCACACAAACTCTTTCTGAGTGTAGAAAAAGAGGAAACTTTCTGTTTGTTTTGAATCCAGGATTACCTCAGTGTCAAAATTTGAAAAAGACATTATCAGAAAAGAAAGTTAGGATCAATGTTGCTCATGAATAGATATCAAAGCTTCAACTAAATAGGCAAGTAGAATCAAGTGATTAAAAATAACATTTCAAAAATATCTGGCTTATTACAGGAATATAAGAATATAACACTCAAAGATCAAGATAATTCATCATATAAAAATGAAGAAAAATTAAATGACAAATTTCATAAATTCAGAAAAACAATCAAAAACCCAATACCTATTAGTAATAATAATGAAAATAATAAGCAAAACTTGGAAAACTCTAAAGAAATCTTTCATAACCTGAACAGAAATAGCTCTAAAAATTCTACAGCAAGCATCATCTTAATTATGAAATATTGAAATATTTTTCCCTTGAGATAAGGAATGAGCCAAAGATGTTAGCATTGTAAGAAAGTCCAAGCCAAGGCAACAAATGGAGAGGGGGTAGATATAAAGACTGAAAAACAAGAAATATCCCTCATTACACACAGCCAATATGATAATGTATGTAAAGGCACAAAGGAATCTGCAAACTATTTTAAATAGCAAATGCATTTAGCAATATATACCTAATACATAAGTTGACTTCATTTCCGAGAATTGCCTCTGGCTTTGCAAGGCAGCATCTCCCTGCTCAGCCCTGGCTGACACAGGAAAGCTAAGGTTGTCAAAGATTCAGGACACTTTCCTCCTTCACCAATGTATTCATCACTGCCTTGGGGAAATGGGCCTCCCCTAACTCCCCTGGGAAACACTGTGAAGTGGTGGTTTTGGAGATCATCCTAATGTTCCTCATCCCTGAGCCTTCTGATATTTCCTCAATCTTAGCCCAAGGAAATTCTGGCATTTCCATTTTATTTCATCTCACACATTGTTAAGCCTGAGAATCAAGAAGTTATCAAAAAGAAAAGATATGATCTAGCTTCAGGCAGATGTCTTTGTTTAAAAGCTTTACCAATATGCCAGGCCTATGAATCTTCATCGAGTTTATAACCCATCCTGTGGCACACATGTGTTTCTCCAGAAGAAAATATTAAATCCTAAGTTGGGGATGAATTCTTTCCATGTCAATAAACTCACCCCTCTTCATCCTGCTTCAGTTTCCTCATTACCCAAGTCTCACATCCTAAATAGTTCATTTCATGCATATTCTCTCGTTTCCTCCTGGTGTATATTAGCCATGCCATGCAGTTTCTTCTGGCATGTTTTGGCTACTGTTCCTTAATGCAAAAAAAAAAAAAAAAAAAAAAACCTTTTCAGGTTTTGCTGAGCTCTGACTCTGTTGTTTATTGGCCTGAAGTCAATGAGTAGTTGCGAGGATAGAACTTGGAATCTAATAGATTGCACGTGACCTCATTCGTATGAGTTTCTGACAATTTCCAGGCAGGGAAAATCTATTCATCTCTGGCAAGGGGAAGAAGGGTTCTTTGTCTGCCAGAGTATTTAGGGGTAATTTATTGATATAAGCTGTAGACTATTTGGGAAAGGACTCCCAAATGTCTCCATGCCAGATCTCAAGGTTTACTATTTTCCTATCATGGCTCTGACTTTGACATAGGAAACTTGGGGAAGCAATGCATTCAGTCTTTTTTCCAACAGCTACACTTATAATCAGATCCTAGATCTGAAATTTCAACAGAATGAGCTCTCAGGCTGCTGAAGGGTCCCTAATTTCAAATTACAAGCTGAATATTTCTTATTTGAAATGCTTGGGACCAGAAGCATTTTCAACATTGGATTTTCAAATTTTGGCATATTTGCATATGCATAATTGAGATATCTTGGGAATGAGACCCAAATAAAACATGAAATTTATGTATGTTTCATACATAACTGATACACATGGCCTGATGATAATTTTATCCAGTATTTTTTTTAGGACATCTACATTTTAGCTGTGACCTGTCACATGAGGTCAGGTTTGGAATTTTCTACTTTATGGCTTCTATTGGCACTCACAGGGGTTTGGATTTTGGATTGAGGATGATCAACTTGCATTCTTTAAATTGGCAGTTGACTACTATTCTGGAATTATATTTTTACATTTTTGCAAAATTTTCAGTGCTGCCCAAAATACTCAATACATCTAGCAACTCTTAAAATTATTCTTGCCCTACTACCAACCTACTGCAGCACCCACTCGGTCTCTCATGTCCTTCCCTTCCTCCTGCACTTTTGGCACATTACATGCCTGAAGAGTTTTACCATCACACTTACTCACACTTTTTACTTTCAGACTGGTGGGAAAACCATTTCCAGAACACCTCCTGAGTATCTGCTGCCAGCACCTGAGCTCCCTGGGAGAGCCCAAAGCAAGGGCTTTAAGCCTATGTACTTTATTCATATCAGAAGCACAATCCATGAAATCAAGAAAGAGGGAAACAGAAAAGAAGGGAAACAAATGCAACATTTTTTTATGGCCAATTTGGTGACAGACTCTGAGAGAGTTATTTTTCTCTTTTACATGGAATGTCTCCAGGCAGGATGTTGGGAATCTCTGTGTTTTG